GCTCATATTTCAGTAAATAAAATTTTTTAAACTATGGAAGTTGTAAAACATTATAATTATGGTCAGGCAATCATAATTAAAACCATAAAATACAGACCCTCACTTTGATGTCTGTCTCCCTTTAAGACCTCATTCTTTTATTATCATCATTATTGTTATGAAAGAGTTTACATCATGTAGAATGAAAGAACGTGAGAGAAATATAGATACTATTAGAAAGTAGTCATGAGGAATGTAGGGAGCAAGGTCCCAACACCCAAAAAAGAAACAGATACATAGTTGAATTTAAAAGAAAGCTGATCTATTTTTACATTTAGAGCAGATATTACACTGAAAAACATAGTGGAACAAATGAAGATCATCAGGATTGAAATTGGCATTAAATTTTTATCTGGTATTAGTTGTTTAAGTGATTGTAAAGAAAGGTCAAGGTTGAGAGGCGGAAGAGAATTAATCTATTAAAGTATGAGTAATCTATGGCGGAAGATGAAGTATACTGGTGAACTAGTCTGTGATAAGTGGCAGATGTAGTTCAGTGGGAGTGGGAGCTAGTAGAGAAGAAGCCCGTTACATTGAAAATTTAACCAGGTGATTTGACTGAGGAGATGAAAAACATACTATTGGCCAGCTCCAGGCTGTACATGAGAGGTAAAATATTAGTTTATGTAGTCGGGTTTTATAGTCAGACAATAGTCATTTAAGACATTCTTGGTCGCTCTTTTTTGATGAAGTTCAAGAGCAGTTATGTCCTTGGTAAGACAAGGATGCCAAACAGGACATCTATAAATGAGGATGGGCATAACTTGAGAGGTACTATTTCTTTGCTTCTTTGGGAGTGGTCGATATGGGAAAGACTCGCCTGATTGTGCTCAGAGTATTGTAAGCCTTTTTTAGGATGTTGGCAGACTAGGATAGATTCTAAGAAAAAACAACACCCATATCTCGATAAAAATTGTTGACACTCATAGCAGACACATCAAGAGAATAAAGAAATGGGATAGCTGTTCAACTTGGGCCTCTAAAACTTGAAATGAAGAACTTCTCATTAACAGAAAGTTAAGATGTTTTCCTCCAAACACTTCAGCTGGTAAAGTGATTCTGAAGTAGGTGACAGCAATTTTTAAGTAGTAAAAAAAATTTGTCCACAACAACTTTAGTTGGCTATAACTGCCAACAACTTAAGTTTTGGGTTACTGCTTTCAAAATGATTGCTTGAGATATTTATAAAGTTTCCACAATTTGACTGCATTCCTATTACTTAGTCTGTTGTTACAAATACCATCTTCCATTGAAGTAGTCTACTACTGCTTTTGGAGCACTGTCATATATTGAGATCATCATACTCTGATTCTGAAAATGCATATCAAAACTTCAGTAGTGGCACTAAGGAAATACTCCTTTGGCCTAATGCAACACCTATTGATTCACAAGACTTTTTGTCTGAAGTCTTTAATCAATGTATGAAATATAACAGATAAAAACAACTTCAATTGGTAATCTTTTTCTAAGTATATAACTCATATCTTCTATTTCGTTATTGGCCAATATAATATATGTTCTTGCCCAATGGTAAAGGCTTCAACCAGTAAATGTTACACTCACGTAATCTTCATGAACTATCAGACTTGTAACAATCATGTCATTTTGTCCATGTAGAAATTCTAACATCAAAAATACTGGTAATCCTAGTTCAAAAAGTTTATAAGTGGCATCAGTACAAAAAATTTCTGAGTAACGACAAAAGTATTTTGCATTTCTTTTTCTAAAAAAACCTCACTTTGTCCTTACAAATGAACTCATACAAGAAAGTTATATGATCATTACTCTACTTGCCATGGGATATATGATCAGTTCCGGTCAAAGGTTATTGATCACGACCACAAGCTTTTTATGTACAAAAGTAAGTTAATTCATTACAAAGGTGTGATAATACTAAACACAAAAACAATAATAATTGGTTCATAAATCTAAATCCAACATTATTATCGGCAATGACATGCTTCCTCACTCCTTTTACTTGTTGGTGAACAGAATGCCACACAAATTCTGTAATCTCTCAAAGCTATCCTGAGTCAATCTTTTTGTAACTGATAGGTACTAAATTATTTTTTTGGTAATTATTAATTATGTAAATATGTTATGGTTTAACAAGAAATGATTTTATTAATACTTTAAGTTTAAACTGACATGATTAATTTCACTAAGGTTTTTGGCTGAAAAGTGACATGATTTACGTTGGGTAATTTAAATAAACTCCACATTTTGGTGACATTATTGCCTCCATACTGAATGTGTGCTTTGATTCAGCACTAGTAGCACCGTCACATAGATACTTGCAATGCAACCTTAAAGAGAAGCGGAACGGAGATTTTTTATCTGTTGAAGTTTGTCATCAATATTTGGTGCCGTAGTTCAGTATATATCATTCCTTTATGGTTTGCTGTCTCTTCCATTGAAATCATAGGTACTGTGTTTCCTTGAATTCTACCTGCGGTTATTATTAATTTCAGAAGCAAGAGCAGTGCGGGTACAATACAGGGGCAAATAGTATTGAAGGGTGAAGACTAATAACTTCAGCTCCATTTTATCACTTTGACTTTGAGGTTGAATTGACTGCTGTTCTGAAAGATTTGGATTGATGCATCTCATATTTTAGCAAAGTTTTGTATAATGAGAATATTCAGTCCAAAGAGTTCCTTTGTCATGTTGTTGAGTGACCTGAACTCCAAGAAAATGATTTAGATTTCAAGTTGAACTTTATTGACGGTGTGCTTTTTATTACTTTAACATTTTAGTACTGTCTTCAGCAAAAATATACTGTGTACATAATTTCCAAAAATGGACATCCCTACCTTTTTCAATTTAAAATTACTTAAATCAATGAATGCTTGTGTAAATCCCATAGTTTTGAGGTAATTATCTAACACGAAGTTTGAACATCTTGAAAACTGTTAGCGAGTACAATTGTGCTTTAGTTTGCCTCCTTTCCTTTTTCCTCATCTCCCATCAGGTTGTCGCATACAGTATAGCTACAAAATTTGGCAGAGAATTAAATTTGGCAGATTGGCAGTGTTAAAATAAAAGTGCCAATATATATACCCGCCAATAATAATTTCAATGATGGACGAATCTTTTTATGAGAGTTTGTTAGCACATGATGCCGAAATGGCACCATTGCTCACTATTTCAGTCAAGGCAGTGGGCAAAGACTGCCATGGAACAGCTTCAAGAAGGCCTAAAAGTGCTTAAGAAAGAGACAAGATAGTAAACTGCCATGTTAAAAGACTGCCTATATTATAGTTAGGCAATTTTATGCAAAGCTGCTAAAGTTATAGACCACCAAATTTTGCAGCTATACGGTATATTGTTCCTCCATTAGGTTACCCTTCAAAATTGGAGTAGTTACATTCATTTCGTGTTAAGCAATCTTTCTTTGTACTGTGAGAGCATTAAATGCAGAAGAGACTCAAATCTGGTGACAAGACTGAGCATCTCATCAAATTGTGGCCTTGCTTCTATCTTAACCCTTGAATAGTGAGACAAGGTTGATATGGCTCCCCAGATCCATCTGATTAAAGGTCTCTCTTAAAGAACCATATATTTCCAATTAGACATTTTCCCCTATGTAGCTCAACAAGACCTCATATACCACTTTTAATAATAGATTTTATTTCTTTTTTGATGGCAGTTTGCCATTCTTTTCTCTTGATACTTACCAAAGATTCATTGACAGTCATTGGTTTTCTGTAAGAGATGATATGCAAGCTCCTAAATGATTTTGGTTTACTTGCTTCTCTTTTTGATCTTCTCATTACAGCTGCTTCTTGAACATAATTACCTGCATCAATAAAAGTGTTTGTGTTGGTGTTTGCATCAGTATATATTGTGGGTTAGTGTCTGCATGAGTGTCAACAAGTTCCTCAGTATCAGACTCTCTAGTTGCTTGAGTAATGAGATTGTCTTTATCATAACTCTCTACTTGCACTCACTGAATGGACATTTTGACTATATATTTCAAAGTTTTTAATAATCAAGTCACTGTATTGATATAACATTTGAATAATGTTTTGCACTTATTTTGATCTAAGTCTTTCACTTGAAAAAGTGCACTGTACATTTCATCCTTTTCATTGGCCGCCTAGGTTAAGCAATAATGTGGGGGCGTGCAATTTGTGATGGCATCACATTAACTAATGGAAGTTCCTTTCATCTCTTTCATGCAGGAAGAACTTGTTGCTACTGGTCGCTGTGATAAGCAAATATTTTGTAATTTATTTCCAAATGATAGTGGCATAAGAAATGTGATTTTATCAACTAAACGAAGGAATAGAGTCAAGGTAGTCAGGACCAACAACGTACTCTTTTTGTGCAGCAATAATTCTAACTTTGCTTTTATTTTTTATTACAGTGACCAGTAGCAACATGTTCTTTCTGCATAAAAGAGATGCAAGGAAGAGCCATCATCACAAAATGCACGCTCCGCATTGTTGCTTAAGCAGGAAGCTGTCCACCAACAAAAAGGAGGAAAGATATGGTGCATTTTCTTGTGAAAGACTTTTTGATCAAAATAAGTGCAAAAGTTTTGTTTAAATGTTATATACATGCTGTGACTTGATTATTGAAAAGTCTGAAACAATTCAATTCAGCTGCCATTTAGTGATAATTGTGGCCCCTATTTTATTTGCTCCTCAAGTTCCGGAGTTGTACGATTCATTTTAAAAGCAAGTCATGCAGTCCAGCATTTTTATGTTACAGCTGAATGGGGTATGCAGCCCTGATTATGGATGTATACCATTCTTGCCCTTTATCTCTGTTTCGACTTATTGTTATTGTTATTCTTTTTATTACTTTTTATTATTATGTTACTGCTATTGTTGTTATTAGTATTGGTATTATTAGATAGTGTTGGTTTATCAATGAAAGATTTGGATTTATTATTAGTAACATTAAACTTTTCATTTTCATTTTCTTATTCTGAAATTATAAATTTTTAATTTTAGTGTCTATCCACTAATGCAGAAGTCATTGGAATCACTAATGCAGAGATTTCCACGAGAATTAAATGTTACATTGCCACATCTCACTCATAAAGTTGCATCTAGTTTCTAATTTTTGATGTGCTTCATTTTTTGTAGATAAATGAGATTAATTCTGTGACACATGTATTGAAATGTCATGTATGGACACTTTGCACAAATGTTCACGTAGCAAATGCAAGAGTGGAAGTTTACCCTGGAAGTGATCTTAATCAAATTCATGCTGAAATTAAAACTATTTTGAATGAGGTACATTAAAGATTCATAAAATTTTTATTGATTTATGATTAGGCTGGTATTCAAGAAACTTATGTGGAACTTGTTCAAAGTGACTAATATTGGTTAAATATACAATTAAGTTTGATTAAAAGTTTTAATCCGTTTTGAACAGGTTAAAATTGTGAATTGTGTTGAACTAGTAAAATTTTATCCTAGTTCTATCACAAATTTCTGCATATGCAATGTTTAATTAGAACATATGTAAACAATGTCAACATATCTACCATGGTATCTGTTTTGCGAAAGAAAAACCAAATGTTAGAGTGATTAGTTACAAAAGTAAGGTTGCCATAAATGGAAGAAACAAGGGGTTGAATTCCATGAAAGTAAGAAGAATTAATCATTAGTGAGTATTTTGCTGCCACCTTTCTATTATTAAGGTGCTTTTGTATGAAATATGCAATGAAGTATTTAAAGGTATTTTTGCATGCACTACTCTAGTTTTAGCTGCAGCAAAACGTCCATTTGTCATAAAAGTTAAGTAATTATTGTTCAAAACTTAATTTTCACCACAATTGTGTGGTGAAAGTTTGAATCATACAACAGATCACGAAATTTTTTTGTAGAAACTTGTTAAATGTTTTATGATGCTTTGACACAAAATTATTCATTTTTTCTACAGCAAATAACGTTAACCTTACTAGCATGAAGGGTCTATATGTAGGAATGGAGCTTTCACATAAAAAGCTGCTTACCAGTTTCAGTCTTTGAGAGCAACTTTCATGAAATATTTAGCTTTCCATTGTTGTCTTAAGTTATTAGCCATATGCCTTTTGAAAAAATTGTATATTACCAATGTCAACAAATTCAACAAATAGTGACAAAAAATCCTTGCAAACTAACTTTGTTTAACTGGATGTACTATAGACAGACTTCCACCACAAAGTTGCAAGTTTCCTAGACTTCCTAATAGGTCAGTTTGTGCTATCACCAAGTTGGTTGGCAATACCAGCGAATAAAAGAACTAAAATGAGAAGGCTAAAGATGAACTCCAGCTTGTGTACTGTGAGGATTAGCACTAGGGCGACAAGATTTTCTGTGATAACTAAATAATAATGGACACAAGTCACAAAGAGATACTATAATGAGAGAGAGATTTGAATAGAATCTGAAGGTGGAAAAGGATCACAAAGAGTTTTGGATCAACAAAAGAAAGACAATGCTCTAAAAGAGGAAGTGGTTTTTGAGGAGGCCTTAGCATTGGTAGAAAACCTAACTGTCTTCCTGATGGTGCTACAGATATAATTGTTGTTGACACATGATTTATCAAACTAATTAACGATGAATTGGAGCGTAATTGAAAGTCAAGTCTACACATTTCAAGTACTGTATATCCTTAAATAGAAGCCGCATTTGAATAAACGCTGGGGTAACAATAGAATTGAGCTATAAATATGCAACTGTAGCCCAGGAGTAACTCAGTAGTCTAATGGATAATACTTGAAGTTCCAAAAGTCACAAGCATAAGGTTACAGGTTTGAATCCTGCTCCGGGCCAAAGTTTTTTTATTTTTTATATATATTTCCAGATCCAAATACCATTTTAGGAAATAGACGCCCAGGCTTTTATTTAAGGAAATATGGTAAACAAGTGTCTCCTCTGTCGATATTAGACATTTTTTGACATTGTGGTGGCTAATACAGTAAGAAAATTAACTAATGAATATGCCTAGACAAACGAAATTGAAGAGAAGAGGAGATATCACTAATTTTGTGAGCAACTATTTACAATTATGGAATTTTTTTGCATATTAATTTGGGATTGTTACTTCTCCTAAGTATACACAAAGTATGCAACCACTGATTTTGTGTGGAGTACTAAGAAGGGCCAATGTCTTGGTTGTTTGTCAGTGAATGTCTTGTTACCATTTTGAACAAATTAGTATTTTTTACATCTAGTCACTCCAGAAGAATTATGTATCGATCGGCTACGAAAGTTTTGTCTTAAATCTAAACCACAAAAAATGCTGTTCACAATTTTGTTAGCCATTACAAAAGCTAAACATTCTGGGTCGTGATTTCACTACTGACCAGGAAAAACAGTTTGTTAAGATCCAGTCATTCATTTTCTCTGCTGCGGGACCAGCTATTGGTTTGCTGATGATCTTTTTTTATAGTCTAATACCATTAAATGAATAAATAAATAAATTACAAAAATAATAATGTCATATACATGTGAGTATGTGTGTGGCATAACTGTTTATTATGTAATAGAACAGCCAGACAGGACTTCTGGGGGGATATGGACAAGTTAATACTAGTGAAGGATATTATGAAGGTCTTAACGGAAACTCTTGTGCTGGTTGGTAACAAATGCTTATTGTTTCATCAGTGAGACTAGGCGCCTTGGGTATTATTGACATGATCAAATCCAAGAGTCCTAGTTTGGAATAAAAGATTTGCTCGGAAGATATGAGACATCTGGAGAGTTGTTTAACCCCACAGCTAAGGAGATAACTGAGCAAACTCATGCAGGCAATCAAAGACTTCCTTATAGTTTAGACTCTGCTCCAAAAGGGAAATCTTAATTCGTGAGTTGTTGCTTGGGGAGAAGCTCTAGGGCAAAGTACAGCAAACCCTCGAGTTCTCCTCAGAAGTGCCTTAAATAAAACCCACGAGTTTCTACCAACCCTCAACCCAGTTGTTTTCACGATTCCACGAGGTCCCACTGAGGTCTACTCTAACGGTAGGACTCGACTATAACATTTCACCCAAGCTTGGGAATTCCTCACCAACTATCATTAAACTGTTCAGACTATGAAGGGTTATTGATGAAAAGATTTTGGAAACTCCTCCAGATATGCCCCTTCAATCATTTCAGCTATTGTATTTTATTCTTCAGAAGGGAGCAGTAGAACTAGCTCTAAATTCTTCTGGATTTTTAAGCCTGATGTTTGTTGTCCCGAATAAGGATGGTAGATCTCGTCCAATAATAAATCTCAAACGACTGAACAACATCCTAAATGTTTAACACTTCAAAATGGAGAACATTTTGAGTCTAAGAGGGAACTTAATTACAAACGATTTTGGATTTAAACATGCCAATCTGGCTATTCCAATCCATCCCAACCGTCAAAGGTTCCAAAGGTTTTCAAGTGGGGACAGAAATTACGAGTTCTTCTCCCTGCCTTTTGGATTAGTGACAGCCCTTGTGTGTTCACCAAAGTCATGAAATCAATACTAGCATCAATGAGAGAGAACTGCATTTGTCTGGTCGGATAAAAAGACGATTTTTTAGTAATGGGGACCTCCCAAAGGAGTTTCAAGACCATCTTTAGCCGTTAGTTTCCCTGTTGACCAGTCACGGGTTTCTAATCAATTAGGAATAGAGTATTAGCTCCAAACCAGGTAATGCAATTCCTGGGTTTTCTAGTCGATTCCAGAAATCTATCTCTGTCTATTTCCCAGTAAAAACTAGATTTGATCAGGAAGGAATGTTGTAATTTACTCAGCTTGAAATTAGTCTAAGGGACCTGTCTCATCTGATATGGTTACTGAGATATGTCAATGTAACAGTGGAATGATTCCACTTCATTATAATGCCCTACAGAGATTGAAGCACAAAATACTTCATTTCAGGTATCTTCTGAACGGCATGTCCTCCTTAGACAGTGTGGCGAGAGAGGATCTACTGTTCTGGATCGAGTTACAATTGGTCGATGGGAGTAATTTAATCTTCCCAGTTGTCCAAGTAACAATTTCAACAAATGGGTTCAGGTCAAGGTGGGGAGCTCAGTTGGGTCTAACACATAGGAGGACCTTGGACTCCCTGAGAACTAGCATTTCAGATCAATTGTTTGAAAATGCTGGCAGCATTCCTATCCTTCATGTCATTGCATTTGAATTGAAGCAAACAACACATTCTTTTGTTAATGGACAGCAAAGTTGCGATCTCCTTCATCAACAAGAATGGAGGAACCCATTTGAAGAGTCTTTCAGACCTTGCACTCCTAATATCGGAGTGGTATCTAAGGAGAGGTCTCACTGTTCATTTAGAACATCATCCAGGCATCTACAATTAGATAACAGATGTGGAATCAAGGAAACCAGTAGAGGGTTCCAATTATAAGTTAGACCATGTATTCAATAGTTGCAGCACTGTTTCATAGTAAAGTGTAATATACAAAAAGTGGCAGATCAAACTGAGTTTTTATTTATTTGAGTTTGGTTTTTAAATAACATTTTATGTACCACTGACATTTTACTATATGTTCTTCTGTTCTTGTGTTTATGGTAAAGGTTTTACTTGATTTTTTTTGCAGCACTCTTCACTATTTTTGTTCAGCTTATGGCATAGTTAAAAATACCAGAAGTAACTCATATTAAAGGTTTCATTATTGGAGAATGGTTTTCGACATGATGATTCCTGTGTTACTTACATTTTTCATTTGTTTCTTTTTGTCAACTTCATACTATTTTTTATAACAGGAGGGACATACCAGATTGAGTTTTGTCATTTCGGTTTAGTTTTAAAATGATGTTTAATGTACTTCTAGTAAATTTCTCACTTTTAAATTTTGTTTCCTTTTTATTTAGTTTTGTAGTATAGTTTAAAATATTAGAAGTGATTGATGAGACTGAGTTTTGTCATTTGAGTTTGGTTTTACGACGTTTTATGTAATATTGACTTGTTTCTATTTGTTTCTTCATTTCTAACTTCTTTAGTTTAGTTCATTACAGGAGTGACTGCTGATATGCAGTTCTTGTCTTTTAAGTTTGGTTTTAACATAATGTGTCTTAAACTACTCTTTTTCACCATTTGTTTTTTAGTTTCATGATATTAGTTGAAAGTCAGAAGTGACAAATAAGATTGAATTTTTTCATATGCAGCTGGATTCTAAAATGACATTAAATCAAGTTGTACAATTAGTCACGGCATAGTTTAAAGTACCAGAAGTGGTTGACCAGACTAAGCTACTAACATTTGAGATTAGTTTCAAAATAATGTTTTGTGCACTACTGACTTCTCCTTATTTGTTTTTGTTCTTTCATACTGAAGCTATTACCAGGAGTAACTTAAACTAAAATTTATTATTTGACTTGGTTTTAAAATAAAACTTTACTAAGCACTCACTTCTCACTTTGTTACTCTAAAGTTTCATAGTACAGTCTAAATGATCACATCAAGTTTTCAGGTTCCTTTTTGTTTACTTCCCATAATTTGTCTTCTGTCTTCTGTTTCATAGTATAGCTACAATAC